ATTTTTCCTATCTATGAACTTTTCTGTGTACTCCTTCAATTGTCTGATATATGGGGAAAGTCCTTCTCCTGGTCTTCTGAATATATGCAATTTGAATGTTCCAGCTTCAAAAATGCTTCCTATCTGAAGATAGGAAATACTCTTAAGTTAGATGGATACAACTGTTCTAATTTAACTGTTCCTAAGTTATTGATGCTTTGAAGTGGCAGAGAAAAAAAAAAGTATATATTAAACATTTTGATAAGGAGGAAAAAACCCCAGCAAGACGGTTAAGAAAACTGTCTTAAGTGGTTTCATTTATCCAAAAAGACATCAGACCATGATTACCATCCACAAGGAGATCCTATGCAAGTAGATCAAGAGTCACTATTGCTCTGCTGTGATCAACAAAATGTATTCAATTAAGCAGTACTGGGAAAGTAAAGACTCGCTGGTAAATGGGGCCCGGACAGTTTCAAACCGAATAACCTCACTAATAGGGACTATTGTTCAGCGTGGAAGTTCCCATTTTCCAATCAGAAAAATACAGCCCTCTTTGGGCTTTGGCCGCCTGATCCCTTCCCACCTACGGCTCAACAATCTGCCACCAGTGAGGGGCTTTTATTACCTCCCTTCCCAGGAAATGTTAGGCAACTTGCTAGGAAAGCCACTCGAATGCAGAACTGGACGGCAGAGGGGCACTTCTTAGGAATCTACAGGTCCACGCCGACCAGGTTTGTGTGTATGTCTTTTCAGGAAAGAAACTTTGACTAGAAGAGACACCTCCATCCTGGCCCAACCCGATCCTCCCTATGGTCACCAGCAGCACTCGGTTCTCGACCCACTCCTCTTCACGCTTTATTTAGTAGTCAACTCATCAGCGTCAGGCGAGGTTTCCGCGCAGTGTCCAGGGCTTGGAGGCCATTTCCCCACCCCGGGAGAGATGCCCGCCTGGGCTGCGCGGCGGACAACTAGTTCACAGTGTCAGCAGCCGACACGGACCCGTCAGCTATCAGAGCTGTCTCTCCCAGCGCTCCGGAAACCGAGATGCGAAGAACTGGGTTTAAAACACACTCAGCAGAGGTTCGCACGTATAGTTCATGTACATCCCCCTCTCCCCCCAATTAGGCTTATACCACGCTATATAAACCGGCCACACTTAGCACGCTTAAAATGGTATTTGGTATAGATGTATTGCCGGATACTTGAAAGCCTGGATAACTTTGATGTTTTAGACTATAAAACCCTAATTGAACTTAATGGTTACAAATGGCTTTATTTACTTGTCGCTGTATCTACACATTTTAAGCTATTTAACCGAACAGCAGAGGCATATTTCACTCCCCATCTCCCGAAAAAGAAAAGCTGGATTGAGGCCTCTAATTTGCTTTTAGGACCTTTTTTTTTTTTTTTT